AGCCCTGAAGACATGGCGTGAACAAAACAAACACAACAAAGACTCGAGGAGAGGTGTGAAAGAGAGGATCATTGGGAAAGAGAATGTGAGAAAGGACTTTATGATTGAGAGAGGAGGAGGGCATCCTATTAATAAGAAACATGCAGTTAGATGGCATCCCCCAAGTGATGAACAGGAATATTAGCACCAAGCAAAAGGGTACGAGCCATTTCAACCAAGTGTCTATTTTTTCTTTGGCGTTATACCATTTTGTGGGGTGTATGAGGACAAGTGGACTGATGCAAAATACCATGGGAGCTAAGAAGTGAAGAAACATTTTGATGATAAATACTCTTTAGCATTATCACTTCCAGACTTTAATTACATGACCAATTGGTTTTGATTCATTCAAAAAGGATGTGAAAAGGGGGAAACAATTCAGAGCGATCTTTCATTAGATAAACCACAGTACATAGAATACTCATCAATAAAAAGTAACAAAATACCTAAAACCAAAAGAAGAGACGCGACTAGGTCCCCAGAAATCAGAATGAATAATAGAGAAAACTAGAAGTACACTTGATGTGAGACCTTTTTGGAAAGAAGACTAACATGTTTTCCTAGTTGACAGGACTCACATTCTAAAGTCTGAAGACCACTAAGTTCAGGACACATCTTTTTTAACTTTGACAAGTGAGGATGGCCAAACCGATCATGTAAAACTTTAGGGGGAAGAGCTGCGACACAAGATACCCGTGGACGAGATCCAAAATGGTATAAAACTCCAGCTTCATATCCTTCTCCAATCTGTCTCCCCGAGCCACGCTCTGTATAACAAAAGATTTTGAATCGAAAGTTATTGAACAATGTAACATTTTGGTTAACGACTTAGGAAATTAAATTGAATGGACAGTTAAGGACAAAAAAGAACAGATTTCAGAGTTAGAGAGAGGAGACAGGGGAGACATGACCGACTCCCTTTGAACAAGTTTTAGAGCACAATTTGCAAGGTAATGAAATGGGGGGTGGTTTTTCTGGAGTGGGAAAGGGTTGAGAACAATGAGGGTTATACCGAAATGTGATAGAAGCACCCAGTCAAATACCATGAATTTAAACCTTCCATGGACTAAGAAATGCAAGTGTGGACGTATTGGGGACGAGATGATTCGAGCCAAACTGTAGAATTTAATCGACAGATACTCTTGATACTCTTCCTCATGTGAAAACTTGAGTTGGAAGTGGAAGTTTCAACCTAGAGATATGGCGGGTTTTGAAGGAAAGCCATGGCAAGGAGACAGTTTTCGGTTGGGTGTGCCCCACCCTCTTACAAGTAAGAGGCACTGTGGAAGTCCCGGACCTCAACGTCATCCTCCTCTAGTGCCACGGGTCCTCTATTCTCGCGTGGCAAACCATGACAGATGAGTTCCCATTGGTTTCATGAGCTTCCTGAGGACTGGACACGGGAACACGACGAAGCGGTAGTGTGGTCAAGGCTTCCAGAAGGAGGGACCTCATTGACTTGTCAGAAGTTGATCTACTGAGTGATCAGATTGGATGCAAAGCACGGAGGATCATTCACCATTATACTTGTCAGCTTCTTTGATATCTTCCGAAGATTCCTTTCCAAGAAACATTCTCAATTCTTCCACAGCTGCTTGGGCTTTCAGTCATTGAGGGAGACATATCATGGTCTGTGCATTTTGAGACAGGCGAAGCTTGTTGCGGTATCATAGAGACGTTGAATATCATTTAGCATAAATGCTTTTAGCTTTCTTCCAAAAAGGTGACATGTCTTGAGGCTCATAAGAGATATCAAAAGCGAGGTTCCACAGATTGCCACAATAGGGCAACAAATTGGAAATTCAGCTTGTTTCCATTGTCAGCTGTGTAGAGGGACCTTGGCTTCCATCTCGCTCGAAGGTGGTCATAATGTACTTGATCCAGACACATTTCTACAGAAACCAGCAGACCAACATAGATAATTATTTCCGTTTAGCTTTAGTGGAGGATTGAGGGACCTTCCAGAGAAAGAAAGAGCAATTCCAGACGCCATTCTTTGATAAAAAGAGGAGAAGGAAACACAGAAAAACCGTGAAGAACCAGAAAAACGTGAAGAACCAGAAAACCCTAGGGGGTTTCTAGGGTTTTCTTAAAGGGGAGCTTCTGGGCACACCAAAGTAATATTTTGAGGGGCAGAACGGACAGAGGAGCAGAGGGCGATAGCTATGGAGGTGGCGCGGCGACTTTCAGGTGAGCAGAGGGCGGCGCGTGGACAGCACGCGCCTGTTCGCAGCGCACAAAGAGGCGGCGCGTGGCGGCGCGTGGAGGAGAATCAGGCGAACCCACCGGTGGGGTTGGCTGTCGCGTGAAGAGGCGAACCAAATCCAGTGGTCGCCGGACGGAACAGTGACGGCGGCCGGCGGCGGACGATGGCGAACGGCGGTGGACAGCAGCGGACATATGCGAGGTGGCAGACAACAAGTTGAAGAACTACAAACTGCAGTTGCAGCGCAGATAGTGGCGGAGACAGCCCGGACAACGGCAAACGTGCACCGGACAGATAATGCAAACAGCAGGACATGCTGGTGGACAAACCCAGGCAAGAAACCAGAGCAGGAGAACCTGCTCTGATACCAACTGAGATCTAAAACTGGAGAAAAATTGTTCTGAAGGGCTTGAAAGACCCTTCTCGTTTCTCTTATTTATATAGATAAAAAAATGGTACAATAGTAGATGGAAGATTGCAAGAGATTGATAACTGCAGACCTAGGAACAATCATATAGATAACCAAACACACAAACTACCTACTTTAGGCCCGTGCTACCACTAATCATAGGTAGACTTAATAATTATTCTAACATATGTGACAATCCTATAGCATTATGCATTGCTCTAATCTTGTCCGTTTTTCTGAGATGACCAAACATAGAGGTAGAATTTCATTTCATAAGAGAAAAAGAGACATCACAACTAGATTGTCAACTCTAGGTAACACAAACAAACAATTCACCAAGCCTATAAGAGGAGCACATATGATAAATATGGCTCTAGCTCTGAGGGGAACAAAGAGTTTCATAATATGAAATAAAAGGCAGATCAATATATACAATTAAGAATTTACTAGATTATAATGTATTATTACTAGGGAACGTTTTCATTTACTCTCGTATCATTAATTGTTAGTATATTTATATCTTTTATCTTTTAGTTAGTTGTGTATTATTTCTCATTGTATTTTGGCTTGCCCATATTTTTCTATTATAAATAGAGAACCCTATGTGTGTATTTTACACAAGGGAGATTAATAATCAAATATCAGTTTTTCACATATTTCCAAACATGGTATCAGAGCAGGTTCTCTCGTCTTTCTCGTCCAGGGTCTATGCGTGTCTGCCGGCAGACGGCAGCCTATATCTAAAATCTCAGTGCAGCACAGTCGCAACATCGCCGTTTTCGCTGCCACGCGCCGTCTCTTCTCGGCCAGTCCGGCCAGGTGTTCTGCAGCGCGCATTCCGGTTGTGCGGAGTTTTCCCCCCCCCCCAAACCGGGCGTCCCTGCCAGATCGTCTCGCCGGAGCAGCTTCTGTGAGTTTGTGTTTTGGTTCCATGTTTCTCCTGTTTTGTTGGCTTGGGTCCATACCTTGGGTTTTCTCCTCACGTTTTTGGAACCCTAAGTCCCTTTCTCTCTAAAGTTTAAATGGCTTCTTCTATGAAATCTGTTTCACTGTAAGGATGTTGATTCTAGAGTGGGGGATACGGAGGAAAGATTTGGCTTAGAGAGAGAAAGTCTAGGTTTGAGGAATGTGATCTTGAGCCAAGATCGCATCAAAGTTTGCCAGCTGTTCAGGTGTGCAGTGTTCAGAGTTTAGAGTTAAGGATGTTCATGAAGATGACATTTTGTTCAGGCGCCGTTGCCCTGTAGCCGTTGGCTGTTACAGGCGCGTTTGCCGATGTTCAGGCGCCGTATATGCTTCCACCATGTAGGCCCCCCATCACCTGTCAGTTATGATGGCATACGGGAAGCTTTAGTTTGTCGCTTCCAGCCACTACAGGCCCCATCAGTAGTGATGGCCAATTTAGTGCCTTAAGTTTTCTAGCAGTCAATTGCCGACGACAGTCTGTACGTCTCAGACCGAGCAACTGCGTCAGTTCTCTGGGCTAGAGGTTTAGCCCGATCTTTGGTGATTACACTGCTAAGTATCACCACTTGGGAGTTGTCATAGCAAAGGATTTTGGGACCTCCAACATATCTTGGATTTTGGATGCCTTTGTTTCAGCATTTGAGCCTTAATTTGTTTTGTTTTAGTGGTCCAGCATGTGATATTCAAATGTTCCGCCCTTCACAATAAGGGGGAGTACGTTTCCACAGACATGCAAGTCACCATATATATATATATGGGTGTCAGTCCCGGCAGTTTGTAGATTGTCACTACTACTTGTTGATCCCGTCCACCCAGGCCATCATTGTGAGGATTTAGTTAGTCCTGCAGTTTTGTAGTTTAGCTTTCAGCTACCACTGTTGATCCCGTCAATCATCCATCATTGATTGGGAATCAGTCATTGGCAGTTTGTCATGTCCACCACTGCTTTCCTTCATCCACTTTGAAGGTTGAAGTTTCACAAGCGTGCCTATTAGTCATTCATGTTGCCTGCACACTCTTGAAGACAAAATTCTAGTTCAATTACTAGTTATCATTCCAAGCTTAGTTCATACAATTTGTATGCTTCCACTGAGGGGGAGTGTTAAGTGTTGATATATTATATCTTTTATCTTAGTTAGTTTGTTATTGATTTCTCATTGTATTTTGCTTTAGCCCATATTTCGTCTATTAAAATTAGAGACCCTATGTGTGTATTTTACACAAGGGAGATTAATTCAAATATAGTTTTTTACTATATTCAACAATAATTACTAGAGGATTTTAAATTTTCTCTACTTATTTTATTGATTTGGTTTTCTCAATATAAATAGGTAACACATTATTTCAGCTCAATGTCTCTCTCTTTCCTATATCTAACAGTAATATTCAATATCAAAGGTTAAACAGTTGATGACCAATAACATTTCACGCTTTGCTTATACAAATGGAAATTAAATAAAACCATACCTGGAGGGATCGACCACTGACACAAGCAGATGACCGCAAGTCCTGTCTTATAGGATTGCGACAAATCTTCAGAAGAGACCAACCATGGTAATGGTGGCAAGCATGCCAGCACTTGCGAAGAGAATGGTCGAGTATTTATATCATTTTCTATCAAAACCACCTAATTTGAAATAAAAAGAAGAGGCACCATATCATTAATTTGGTTTAGTTGGTTAAACATATAACAAATACCTGGATCATAGAAGTACAAGTAAAAAAAACACAATATTGTCAACTAGCATGACACAAGTACGACATTTGTTTGGTAAAGCATTAGAATTCAGGTACTGCAGGATTTAAAACAATGACAAATAAATCATGAAACGCTAAGTAAACAATGATAATATATCAGAAAACATAGAAAATGATGAATAGGTCATTCCATAAGTGGAAAAAGTGAGGTCTTATTACTTGGTATTAGTCATTACAGACACAATGTAAGCTAGAATTTATCGAATTCTTGTGTACCAAACAATATTGAAATAAAAACCAAATCAAAAACAATTGAAAGTTAAGGAAAACAGTGCAGGAAGCATCTAATGATGTCTGCACTCTGCAATCCGCAGCATCCAATAAATACCATCCTACAGCAGGGTGGCAAAAATGTTAAATGCTTCCTTGCTTGCACAAAAGTTATTTTCAATTATGAATTTCCTTGCATGTATTTAAGGGAAATCACAATTATGTTTCCTTTCCGGTTAATAAAATCATCAACAAAATGGAACAAGCTGAGTAAGTTGCAGAGACTATAAGCATGTGGGCAAGTTCTTGATGATTTCTTCCCTTGACGTATGATTATATTAGTTTTCACAACTTAGGTTAAAAATTTCACATTTTAATCATCAAAAGACAATGAGATGAAAGGAAAAGACATAACTTCCTAGACAATTTTATATGAATCAGATTCCTCAAAAACATAATAGCAATCAAGCAGAAGGTGCCATACCTCACTTTCAGTATCTCTATCACCTATCTCCCCTATAGTTCGCACATAATGGCCAGATGGATATCTAGACTGACGATCCCAAGAATCAACTGCAACAATAATCCTCTTATCCAAAAGGTTATCAAGTTGGCGTGTTTGGATTCGAATCTTGGGAATTCTGCGATCTTTGGAGATAAACAAGGCATGGGCAATTCCACCACTCCCTGCTGGCAAAGGCATTGGCTCCAAAGATCCACAATACCTGAGAAAAACAATTTAAGTATACCAACTGTCAAACAGAACATATACACCTAAAATATTCAATACACAGACCCACACTTAATGGTTACCATTTAAACAAACAAAACATTCCGATCAGTTAACAATGCTTAACATTTATAGCACAAATAGCAAATCTATTTCAAAAAAGAATCTATATGCACCTTTATCCTCAAAGACATGTCAAACTTTCTGGTTCATTTCACCTCAAATGTCATACCTAAAGCTAGCTCATGTATGTAAGAATAGGTAACCAGTGTGTCACAATCACATCACGGAAATCAGCTATATAATTAACTCTCCCTTTTGCATTGACAATATAAACAGTAAATGTACGTTGACAGTTACAAATATATTACATGTCAAATAATGTCCTATAGATAAAGTTGCTAAGACTATACAATGTAAATATTAATGAATTTTGATCAAACAATTTAGAATTTGTTCACATAGCAGTTAACTTACGACACTAATAATTTCCAATGCAATTTTAAAAAATGAGAAGATTCTTGTTGTTTTTGTGAAATAAAGTTTACAATAATCATTAATGTGAAAATGGTCACCCCACACCCTTAAACAATGGTAGATTCAAAACCATTAATTAGGTCATTAGTCCAAAAGAACACTTGTTTGAGGAAATCGTTTTAGATATAAAAAATATTCATTAGGTCTCAGCCTAAGAGAGTAAAGTTTTGGGAAAGTTGATTATTGACAAAGACCACAAAATTAGAAAGAAAAAGAAAAGAATTTCTCAACCAAATAAGGATAGCTTGTACAAGGGCAGAGTGCTAGTCCAATCTCTAACAATTGTTGAGACGTAGATTTCAAAATCTAACTCAATTCTACAAAATCGACTTATAAGATGAGATTTGCTCCCACTTATATACTATAAATTGACTTTATCTCTAGTCGGTATGAGACTATCAATACATCTCACTCATGTTGAGACATATACATCTTAAGTATAAAACTAGACATTAATGGATAGTCCGATAGCGGATGGAACAATAGACTTAACAAATAACAAACTTTGCTAGGAATAGACTCTAACCCATGACTCTGATATCATATTAAGAAGTGGACTTTAAGTCTAAATCAACCCTACAAAGCTAGTTTTATAAGATTGAGTTAAGCTTAAAGTCAACTTATTAACATAAAACCAGCAGACCTTGAAGATTGCTCATACTTCAATTCCTATATGATGCGGTTCAACTTGCCTTTCACTAACTTAAAGGATTAGTTGATGGAGCAATACTCATGAAATGATTAATCATTTTGAAGAGCACTACATTCTACAGCAGTAATCCATATTCTACTGTGACACAGCTTTGTAAAGGAAGGCTCCCTTGCCACCATAGTTACCAAAGTTGACTATTAAAGTTATCGTTCTATTGGTAGAGGAATTATTAGTTCAAGATTGAGGCAATACAAAGTAATGGCTGTTCAGAAGGTATAAAACAGATCTCATCCCAGTTAAAGTAGTTAAATGCAAAAAATTGTCCACAAGAATGAGAGAACACCTTCGTTTTACACTATTTCACTTTATAAATCTTTCTTTCACCGGTCCTTCCACATGTATCCCTCGTGATGAAAAAATTTATCATATATAAGAAAAGATGTGGAATTTCACAAAATTGTTTCTGCAAAATGGCGTCCATTATCTGCATTTAAAATAGGTTTGTGCTAAAGTGATATAGAAAGTATCGTATTGGTGCTAGTAAAATGAATGCACCCCATTCACATATAGTGCAATTGGTATTTAAAAAAAGCTAAAAATATTATTGGTCCACAGCTACTGCTGAAAATTCAAAATTACAGTGCAGCTTCAGTGAACATCATATTTTTGTAATTATGCTCATATCTCCATCTACATTTCTCTACTACTTCTTACCAATTCACAAAAAACTAATAAAACAATGACAATATCAGAACATCCCTTAATTTACATAGATGAAAGAGATATTAGTTTCCTCTACTGAAAAAAGTGAATTCAATTTCCAATAACATTAATACCAGTCTGCAAATAAAACAGAAATACCTTGTTAAGGGAAGCATAAATAAGAGCAGTTCTATGAATTCCATGTACCTAAAGTGTAAACTATACAGCAGAGCCAAATTAAAAAACTAAGATATCAAATACGTAAATTAGTTCATCTAATTAACATAATTAATAATTTCATTAGCCTATATAAAATGAACTTTAGACACTACATATATCAAACATGCTCGACACAATTAAAAAGATACTTACGAATGCCAGTTCCTCTTTATAATACCAACAATGCGACCAGAAGGACGACTGGGTACAGCATTTACTTGTCCAGAAGAACCCTGCTGAGGAATAGTCCTAGGTGCAACATCAGCACTATTAGGAGCTAGATGAACATCTTCGTCCTCGTTCTCATCTTCTGCAAGCAAATAATATTACTTGATGGGGACAGTGAAATTAAAAAAACAAGCTGTAACCAAACAAATAATATTGCATAGTAGAAGAAGCTCGATTTACAAAAATGTGTCATGTGGCAATTTGTGTAACCAAACAAATTAGAAACTCTAATGACCTTCAAAACTAGTAACTCATTTTGTAAGAAGGCCCAAAGTATCTTAGTAAATGTTCAATGGCTATATGATTGTACAAAAATAATCTCTGGTAAACAAACCAATCATATGATTTAGTATGTCACTCAAGCTCAATCGGCTAAAGAAGAATTGAAAATGTTCCTGGCAAAAAGCTTTAGAAAGTTTGACAATATGAATGTCTTAATTTATAGTGAAGGAGAGGTTATCTTCCCCTCCAAATTACCCAATGGCCATATATGTAGAGTTTGTATCCTTGAACCTTTTGACGCACTGAGATTTAACAGTAAAGATTTTGTATTAACTTTCAATTAAATTTCTCTCATCCTCAATTTTAAATTTTGAATATTATGAATAACATCTAAGATAGAAAATTCTATAAGAACTGACCAAGTTTATTACAGACACATTTTTAAAATAAAATTTCCAGAATCTAATAATGGATTATATTTCCAGATGTATGAACGCAACATCCCTTTCTAAGCTAAATTAAGTAATAATACTAACTTTGCAAAGAACAAATTCTTGCAAGTGACAACTCTGACCCATTGCACACTACAAATAACCTAACAATTAAAGTACCTTCACCGGCTATAGATAGAGATGAGACTTCTTGCCACTGGTCCTGTGGCAGAAGTTCAGCTGCCACAATATCTCCATCAAAAGCTCGGTTCATGTTTGAGCGCCCATAAATAACTATTTCATCACCAATGCTCTCCCTCCCAACATATGCTTCAAATGGATTGTAACGGTTTACACGAAGCTTCCCTTGATGATATATTCCACGATGCAAACCAGAAGTGATTTCTGACATTGGCTTATGCTGAAAATTAACACAGCAAACACTTCATCTTGTCATTTTAACCAAATATACAGACACAAACTCCCAGATACAGATGAAATTAACTTGATACCTCTGAATAGATCACTTTCCTCTTGGATGGTCTATGATCTTCGACATCTTCCATGTTCACATCTTCGGATGCAGGCCGCACAAGAAGATCAAGTAGATCAGGTTGGCCTAAAGACTTGACGTATGACTCAACTGAAACAAAAGACAAATTGGATATTCACCAAAACTTTAATTTTGATATTCAAAAAATTAGTTATGATATTCCTCACAGACATAGATGAAGTGCAATGGTATTTGACATACATTTCAAATACCAAGAAATATAACTACCTGTTTCAGCAAAAATGCCCTCTTCACTAGCCTTCCTTCTGTTCTCTCTATCATTAGTTATAAGCAAAACCTTTACTGCACCACCAAGATGGTTCTGATACCACTGAGTAGCCACTCGGATAGCTGCATTACCACTATTTATAGTTAAAACCTCAAAACTGTTTTATCTCCATTGGAAAATGGCGTTGCAAACCATCCAAGTGAACCACAAAAACAAATAAAAGTATAAGAAATAAAGAATAAATTCAAAGCTCATCAGAAAAACCAACCTCTATCATTCCTATCATTTTTAGTTTCCCCACTCATTTCCTTAACATATGTATCCCTGCACACAGAAACAAAATATCAAATCAAATGAAGTCTGTCTATATGCACTCATCCACAATAAAAAAATATAGGCATCGTGCCCGAAACAAATTCACATGTGTGAAAATTAGAACCACTTCACTAAATAGAAATAAATAATATTAACTCAATAAAAGAAACCAAGCCCTCAAACTAAGTCACTTACAAAGGTCTATTCAACAGAGATGTTTTTATTCCGACAGCAATGATTAATACTTAATCAATTTAGTTGAGCTAATATTTAGTCAATTTACCATGAAATGGTTTCTTTTTTCAGTCTACAGACCACTTTCAAAGCTATTTCCCAGACTTTCTTGCTAATTTTTAGATTTTAGAATACAAGCCATTTAATTTCACACTGTCCACCTGCTAAAATACGAATAAAGAGAAGCTTATAGGTGGCCATGTGAAGTTTGTTTATACAATTTCTTTATGTCAGTTTAGAGATTTAGAGAACAGTACATTAGACAAGCTGTAATGTAATGCACAAATATGATGCTACTAGAACCCACTTTTGCAAAGAAATGCCACATCTTGCAAGGAAAAATACTTTCCACAGCACCTTCAATAGGAAGACATGGTTTTCCATACCGAAATTTGTTGGAGATTTCACATCAGCTAGAGATTAGGCCAAATAATAATATATGAGTGAAAGCAAACCTCATCTTACTAAGTTGATTTTATGACGTAGAATTAGGCTTAAATTCCACTACTTTAAGATGGTATGAGAATCATTCAAAGTCTATCCTAGTACATATTTGAGCCTATCAGGCTACTTGTTATCGGCCCCTAAGTTCCCACAATCAATATCCTCGACATAAATGCTCAATGCCATCTGTGTAAAGGGGTGTGTATCTCATATCGGCTAGAGATTAGACCAAATAATAATATATAAGTGGGGTAAACATCACTTTATTGAGTTGGTTTATGAGATTGAGTTAAGCTTAAATTATAATTTCTAAAGCTTGCATATAAAGATGTCAAAATGAGTTCTAACTTGTGAGTCACCCAACTCACCACAGGTTTGAGCTAGGTTGGATTGAAAAAAAATTCATTTTTTTTAAATGTGGGTCAAATTGAATCCGATTAACTTACCCCTCGGATTTAACGGATTCAAGTCAGGTTGAAGGTGGGTTAACCCATGACCCACCAACAACCACTCTTTATTATTTTTTTTTACCATTTTTTTCATAAGGTTTTTGTTACAATTATCTACTAATTCTAATTATATAGGTTGACAATTTGATATTTTAAAATATTAGAATGTTGTCCAATAATGATTAAATATTTTGGATATTTAATTTATTTGTTTGTCAAGTTACATAGGCTTATACTTTAATTTTCAATTACTATCTTTATAATAATGTTAGATAAAATAGATGAATACTTTGATTGTACCGCTATACAAAAATAAATCAAGTCAATCTACTATGATTCTACCACAATAAATATATAGAATAAATTGGAAAAATAAAGTAAGTCAACCCACCAACGCATGGTAGGTCAAGCCCTATTACCAAATTTCTTACTGTTAGGGGTTGGAAGGTATACGAGAGAAGAAAAAAGTATATGAGAGATGTTAGAATAATTATTAAGTCTACCTATGATTAGTATAGCAGGGCCTAAAGTAGGTAGTTGTGTGTTGGGTTATCTATAATGATTGTTCCTAGCAGTCTAGGACAATCTCTTCATCTTCCATCTATCTATTGTATCAGATTTTTATCTATATAAATAAGAGAACTGAGAAGGGACTTCCAAGCCCTTCAGAACTATTTTTCTCTGTTTTAGATCTCAAGTTGGTATCAGAGCATGTTCATCCTGCTCTGGTTTCTGTCCTGGGATGTCCACCAGCACTGTCACTGCTGTTTGCATCTGTCCGGTGCCATTCGCCGTTGTCTGCGGCTGTCTCGCCACTATCTGCAGCTGTCAACTGCAGTTTGTAGTTCTTCAACTTGGTTGTCCGCCACCTTGCATCTGTCCGCTGTCCACCGCCGTTCGCCACCGTCCACCGCCGTCTGCCGTCGTCCGCCGCCGGCAGCCGTCACTGTTCCGTCCGGCGACCACTGAATCTGGTTCGCCTCTTCACGCGACAGCCAACCCCACGGTGGGTTCGCCTGATTCTCCTCCACGCTCCGCCACGCGCCGCCTCTTTGTGCGCTGCGAA